GAGGAGTTCCCAGCAACTGCGGGGTGCAGCCACGTCCCCCTGCGCCGCACCGCGGGGACGCCGGCAGGCGCAGGCTGAGGGGTGAGTCGGGCCGCGGCCGGGCGCGCGGTGGTGGGGTCTTCGCCTGGCAGCTGGGCCTCCGCCACGGTCACCGCGGGGTTTCCAGCACGAGACAGGCGCTCTAGGCGCTGCCCGTGGGTGCTGAGACGTCACACCCCGCCCCGCAGCAGGTGATGCCCAGAGCCCTGTGCGGGAGCAGGGGCAGCCTGGGGACCGTGGGAAGGACACAGGGCCACCTCTCAGCACGGCCCGAGGGCGTGGGGCTGTGCTGCCCCAGCCACAGGCAGAGCTGACCAGGCTCCCTGCAGTGGGCTCCGAGGGTGCCCGTGACCCAGGACAGGAGCCAGTAGCCACCCGGGATGACCCCTGTCAGCTTCAGCAACAGGAACCCCTGCCTCCTAGTCTGCTTAGTGCGAGACACGGCCTCTCCTGTCCCTCACCGGCATGGACTCCGTCGAGGTCTTCAAGGGCATCCGCTTCCCCGGGTTCATGCACACCCAAGAATCCCTGCGCACCGCATGTGGCTTCCAGTTCCAGGACACGGACGTGCTGCTGGTGACGTTCCCCAAGTCAGGTGAGAGCCGGGCACCGTGCCCCACAGCTGCCCCCTCCCTGTCCCGGCCTGGCAGCCCTGCCCCGAGCCCACCGCGCCCGGGTCCTCACCCTGGGCTCCTGGGCCTCCCTGAGCATCTGTGGCCATGGGCAGTGTTTGTGTTTGCAGGAAGGCACTGAGGGCCTGGGGTTGGTGTCCATGCGAGCTCAGGGGGCCCCTGCACAGACGGCCTCCCTTCCTCGCCATGGTGCCAGTCTGAGGACAGGAGCTGTGCCTGCGTGGACAGTCCCTCCTCCTCCGAGGTGACCCTGAGAGGTCATCCGGGAAGGGCAGGCCGCTGGGGTGCCAGGTCAGCATGGGCTATGGCTGGCAGGTGAGGGGGAAGAGGAGGCTGGCACCTGCGGTGGCCCTGGAGACAGCCCGGTTCTAGCATGGAGTGGCCATGGAGCGCAGGCCATGCTAGGCACAGTAGCACAGCCAGTCATCCCAGCTATGCAGGAAGATGAGGCAGGAAGGTTGCAAGTTCAAGCCTAGCCTGAGCAGCTTAGCAAGAGTCTGTCTCAAAAGAATAAATAAACACTGAATGTAGTTCAGTGGAAAGGCCCTGTGCTTCCCCCAAGACTGAGAAAAAAAACAAAGAAAGAGAGACAGAGACAGAGATAGAGACAGAGGGAAGGGGAGGGCAGGAGCCGGTATGGTGATACATATCTATAATCCCTGTACTCTGGAAGGCTGAGGCAGGAGAACTACAATTTGTCGCCCAGCCTGGACAACTCAGTGACTTAGTGAGATGGGCTGAGGGACGGGTTGGGCCACAGCTGCTCATCCACCAAAGTATCTATGACCTTTGACCTCTCCAGAGGTGACCCCAGGAAAGAGGGGCTGTTTGGGGGCCCTGGACCCCTCTCCTGCTGCTGGCCTAGTGATGGCCTGGAGGGATGTGGCCTTGTGTGGCACAAGGACTTGGCAGCCGTGACCACTGAAGGGCCTGGAAGTTGGCACTCACTGTAGGTCGTCGGGCACCCAGGTGCTCACAGGAGAGATGCAGCAGGCCCAGAGCTTCGAGAGCAGAAGCAGGAGGCAGAGGAAGGAAGTGGCCGTGGGCAGGGAAAACCCAGGAAGAAGCAAGGAGCCTGGGGCTCCAGGATCGCTGACCGGCAGGACATAGCCAATGAGCTGTGTTGTTCCAAGCCACTTGTCATCACAGCTGCCTCCACAGGCCCAGGAAGGTGTGTGCAGCCTCCAGGCCTCCCCCAGCCACCCACGGCCCTGTGGGATGGAGGCTGAAGCAGGCATTGCTCTTGGAGCTGCTGGGAAATTCTGCTCCTGTGTCTGTGCCTTGTCAGTGGCCGTGGAGCTGTGCCCTGAGTGCTCTGCCTGACTGCCTGGGTGCTCAGTGGACAGCCGGACAGGACACAGGAGCTTGTGCCTCTCCCTCTTTGTGTGAAATCTCCCCTGGACCACTGAGATGCGCAGGTAGCACAGAGGCCTGTGAACGAAGCCTCAGCCTCCCAACCAGCAGTTCCTCGTTTCTGAGCCTGCTTCTGCCGCCTCTTTAGGAGGCCCTCATGCACAAATTGCCTCTCCCTCCACAGTGAGCCGTACCTCGCACAGTCCTGTGTGTCTATGACTTTGTTCACCCACGGTCACTGCAGTCCAAAACTAAAGGGAGGCTCCAGATACATTCATAATTGTCAGTTGCATGCTGTAAGTCTCACGCTGTCCCTGCCACCCCACGACATCCAGCACGTGCTGTGAGCCACCCACAGGCCACTGGGGCTCTCAGGCTTGTGACAGGAAACACTTGTTTCACTTAACGACAAAGCCCAAGATCTCGCTGGCAACCAGCATGAGGCAAGCAGAAGCCAAGAGTGCTTCCTTCAGGGTAAAGGTTCAAGTTCTAAATAACAGGGCCAGCTGGGCGTGATGGCACACGCCTGTAATCCCAGCACTCAGGAGGCTGAGGTAGAAGGATCATTGTGAGTTTGAGGCCAGCCCGAGCTACAAAGTGAGCTCAAGGCCAGCCTGAACTGCATAAGGAGACCCTATCTTTAAAAAGACCAAAAAAAAAAAAAAAAAAAAAAAAAAGAGTGAATAACAAAGCCATGTTCTGAGGTCACTAAGATTTATGGTTACAGGGAATCTTTTTCTGTTTTGTTTAGCTTTGTGAAGGTGAGGATGGACACCAGGGCCCCCACACACTAGACAAGTGCTCTCCCAATGAGCTGCACCCCCAGCTCTTATTTTATTTTATTTTATTTTATTTTTTTGGTTTTTCTCCAGTACCGGGAACCGAACTCACGACCTTGCGCTTGCCAGGCAGGCACTTTTGCCTCTGAGCTAAATCCCCAGCCCTGCCCCCAGCTCTTTTAAAGTTTTTATTTTGAGACAGGGTTTCTCCAGGTTGCACAGGCTAGACTCAAACCTGCAGTTCTGCTGCCTCCGTCTCTGGAGTGGCTAAGATTGCAAGCGTGTGTCACCACATCCAGCAGAGTGAGTCTTTCACCCATGAAATTGTGAAGAAGGGAAAGAAATTTATGCTAAGTTCACTGCTGCACCTCCAAATGCAACAGTCATGGCCCACAGGGTACACTCAGTGCTTAGACAGGGTGGGATCCACCACTTGAGCTGTGCAAGGGGAATGAACAGGAGGGGTGCTCTGCGGACAGTGCCGAGCGACCTGGAACACTGCAGAGCCTGGGGGAGGCCCCACCAAGGAGTCCCGAGAACCTGACACAAAGCCGCGGTCAGGTTGTGGGTGAGAGGAGCCGCGTTCCCAGGACTCCTCCGTGGTGGGTGGGGGCGTTGTTCTGTGCCATGGCTGCTGCTGCTGGGCAGCTGTGGCGCAAGGTGTGGCTGCTGCACGCTGCTTTCTGATTTGTAATGACAACACCTAGCCCAGCTTCTGCCCAGTTTTGATGTCCGAAGGCTCCTCCCCCAGCCACGGTCCTAGTGCCCTGTCTCCTGGGCTGGGGGGCCAACTTCTACACGGGAGGAGCATATCCGTCCCCTTCCTCCACTCCAACAAATACCCAGCTGGTCCACTGGGGCTCACAGTGGAGGTTCCAGTCCCAGTTGGTCTGCCGTTGCTGCGCACACAGTGGGACAGAGCCGCTCACTCTTGGCCTGGAGGTGAGTGAAGGAAGGAGGAAGAGACAGGGTCCTGTGGTCCTGAGGGCCCCACACCCCGAGGCCATGGAGCAGCTGTGGACGACGCGGGTGCTGAAGGCCAGCGGGAGGTCAGTCCAGAAACTGCCCCTCTGTGGGACTCGAGGGCCCCGCACTTCACCCACCTTTCCCCACCCAGGGACCACGTGGATGCAGCAGGTGCTGAGCCTCATCTTGTGCAAGGGCCACCTCTGGCCCATCCACAACGTCCCCAACTGGGAGCGTGCGCCCTGGCTGGAGCAGAACAGCTTCGTCAAACTACTTGGCAACCTGGACCCCAGCCAGCCTCGCCTGCTTACCTCCCACCTGGGCGCCGAGGCCCTAGGGCCTGCGCTCCTGCACTCTAAGGCCAGGGTGAGGGCGTGGGCATGGGGCACAGTGGGTGGGAATGCTTGGGCAGCAGGGATGGCTGGGGCCTCTGCCTTTATCTCCAGGCCCAGGCTGGCACCTGAAGGTGGATGGGCAATCGGTCCATGGCTGGGCCAGGCGAGGGCCAGCATTTTCCAATCTGGCCTGTGGACAGCTCTGGGAAGCTAGTGGGAGAGAAAGACCCTAACAGGCTGCTGTCTGAGAACAGCTTGGGGTGCAGCCAACCCTCCTGAGCCACTTGGGGCAGCTTGGGTATGGTGTCCGCCATGTCCCCTCCACACCTGCACCCCACTGTGGCCCAGGCCCCGGTCCCCTGCAGCCAGGGCAGGGCTCTTCCTAGAGCTCGGCTCCGAGATCTAGGGTCTCCCCTCAAGGTGGTGTACATGGCACGGAACCCCAAGGACGTGCTTGTCTCCTTCTACTACTTCCACAAATTGGCCAAGTTCCTGCCAGACCCCAGCTCCTTCGAGGACTTTGTGGCTGAGTTTCTTGAGGGCACAGGTAGGTCTTAGGGACCTTGGTGGCTCTGGGGATCCCCATTTCCTTACCACTGGGTGGTGGGTTAGTGCATTCATCAGCTATCCCATCTGTGTTGGTTACTTTTCTCTCATTGCTGGGATAGAGTACCTGACACCCAGAATGAAGGAAGGAAAGGTTTATTTAGCTCACAATGTGTGGATGTTTCAGTCCATACTCGGCTGGCTCCGAGGCAGAGTGGCACATGGCCAAGGGCAGCTGTCCATGGCAGTGGGAGACAGCAAAGGCAACAAGAGCAAAAGGGAGGAGCAGCGGCCAGCAGCCTCTTTCCCTCCCTCACATATGCACACTACCCGCCCCAGGGTGGGTGCAGCTCTCACACCCATAATCCCAGCATTGGATCCTGGATCAATCATAAACTCTAAAAGCCCGCCCCATGACTGCATGAGGCCTTGGGGTGACGCCTAGACACAAACCATAACTGTATAACTCTATCACTGGGGCAAAATACTTGACACCCACAATTTAGAGGAAGAGTCAGGCATGGAGCCACACTCCTGAAACTCCATTTCTCGGGAGGCTGAGGCAGGAGGATTGCTGTGACTTCAAGGCCAGCCTGGGCTACATAGTGAGTTCAAGGCCAGGCTGGACTACATAGCAAGACCCTGTCTCAAAGAAAAACAAAAAAAAAGGTAAGGTTTATTTGGCTCACAGTTTGGGGGTGATTCAGCCCATGGTTGGCTCCATGGCAGAAAGGGCCTGGCAGAGGACAACTGCTCACCTCATGGCAGCTGGGGCAGACAGCAAGGAGTGGGGGCAAGCATGCAGCCTCCCAGGTCACGCCCAGTGACCACCTCCAGCCGTCAGCGGAGGTTCCACTCAGCCCAGCACCCCATGACTCCACCACCCCCATGAGGCTTGAGGATGTGTTAGATGTAAAGCACCCCGCAGCCTCCTTGAAGCCTGGCCAGCACCTCCTTCCTCATCTCTCCTCTCCAGGCTTCTTCGGCTCCTGGTTCGAGCACGTGAAGGGCTGGCTAGGTCTGGAGCCGGACCTGAACATGCTCTTTGTCACGTACGAGGAGCTGCACCAGGTGGGCGCCTCCGCCAACACCCCCCCCACCCGCCCTTGATCTGCCGCTAAGCTTGGATAAGCCCCAGAAGTATCTTTGTTTCTGGATAGATTCAATCCGTCTGCTCCTCCCTCAAGCTCCTACACTCAGTCAACAAACACACAGGCTTTCTTGTCGCTGGGCCAGAGAACAGCACGTGTGATGCCAGGGACTCAGAGTTCCCGGCACAAGTCCAGCTCCGAGTGTGGGCACCCAGCAAGGTTTCCGCTGAGAACAACAGGCGGAAAGCACCCATTTTTCCAAGGCAGTGTCTCAGTAAGTTGCCCAGGCTGGCCTTGAGCCACAATCCTGCAGCCTCTCAGTTAGTGAAGACTGCAGGTATGCCCCCGCAAGGGGTCTGAGGCTAGAGCCCAGGTCTCGCACACTAGGCCAGACTGCGCCACTGAGCTCGATCCCCAGAGCCCCAATGCATCTCATTTTTTAATTCTTTATTTTGAGACAGGGTCTCACAAAGCTGCCTAGACTGGGCTCGAACTCCTGTATTTAAGTGATCTTTCTGCTTCAGCTTCCTGGGTCGCTGGGATCATAGGTGTGTGCCACTGTGCTGCTTTTGGAAGTGATTGAAAACATATTACTAAGAAAAGAAGCCAAGTGCAGTGGTCCCTGCCTGTAATCCCAGCCACTCCAGAGGCTGAGACAGGAGGGTTATTTGAGTTCAGGAGTTTAAACTCAGCCTGGGCAACATGGAAACCCTGTCTCAATGAGAGAGAAATCAGAATGCCTCCCACAAGGCTGGGCTCAGGCTGAAAGCCTCCTCCGAAATGCTGGAAGCTATATGTGCTCAGGTTCATTGGGTCTTAGGACTAGTCTCCGCCCACATGTGGCTGTGTCTGCCAGGCAACAGCAGTGGCTGAGACAGCTTCGTGGTGGTCATGTCCGGGTTTTTCCAGCAAAGGTTAAAACTCAGGGGAATGGGGATTTAGCTCAGCGGCACGGCGCATGCCTGGCAAGCACAAGGTTGTGAGTTGGATTCCCGGTACCGGAAAAAAACAAAACAAAACAAAACAAAACAAAAAACTCAGTTTCCACATTTTTTGAATTTAGGAAAGGTATTGGGATCTATGACTAAATTCTATAAATATGACAGACAAGATCTTTGAATGCCAAGTACATAATTTCTTTAACATAAAACTATTAATTCCATAGCTTTTGTTCCTCAGAATTTGGGGGGCATTGTTTCAGGAGATGGGGTCTCACTATGGAGCCCAGGCTGGTGATAACCCCTGGTGATCCCCCTGACAGCCCTGGACTGCTGGGATTACAGGCGTGTGCCGCCATGCCCGGCTGTCAGAATTCTTGCACTGCTTTTGGTCCTCTGGAACTAGAGGTGATGCTGGCCAGGTTTGCACTGGAGGTGGGGCAAGGTGGGCTCCAGGCACACTGGAGAGCTGGGTGCCCCTCCTGTCCTCACCAGGCTTTGTGCCCTGGGCCTTGACATCAGGCTTTATCTCCTGGCTACTGATGCATCCCAAGCACTGGTGCCTGGCTCGGGGTAGAGACTCTGCAAATATGCATGGAGTGGGGAACAGACAGAGGCTCGCTCGGACATAGTGGCTGTGAGGAGCCGGGTAGTCGCTGGGCCTCCTTTCCCACAGCTGGGTGGTGACGTCCAGAGGCGTCACCTGGGTTCTGGCTGGTGACTGGAGAATTTGAGGATGGCAGTGGCATTGATAGCAGTGTTATGAGATGTGTCCTATAGTTCTGGGGCCATGCCCATCAGCTGATTGGGTCTTAGAAGAGACCAGCCATCGACCATGCATTTGCCTCTAGCCCCCCACCTGCTGCCCTGCTAGCATTCGCCTGTCTCTATCCCTCCATCTTTCCACTCTGCCCACCTACCCATCCACCCACCCCTGTCCACCTGTGTGTCCACCCGTCCCCGTGTCCACCCACCCCTGTCCACCTGTGTCCGCCCACCCTGTCCACCTGTGTGTCCACCCGTCCCCGTGTCCGCCCGCCCCTGTCCACCTGTGTGTCCGCCCGCCCCTGTGTCCACACATCAACATTTTATATCTGCCCTTTTCACGTCACATCTCAGTGCACTTTCCCCCCCACAAAATGTTAGTGGCTGCATAATATTCCATGATATAGATATAGTTTAACTAAATCTCTTTCATTATTGGATATTTATGTTTTTCCTCATGTACTGGGGATTAAACCCAGGGTCTCCAAATTTAGCTAAATCTCCAACCCATTTTCAATTTTTTTATATTGAGATGGGGTCTTGCTAAATCAATAAATTGTCCTGTTTGGTCCTGAATTTGTAATCCTGCCTCAGCCTCTCGAGTGCTGGGATTACAGGCATGTGCCACCATACCCAGGCTGACAGTTATGTTTCTCCAACTTCTTGTGACAACAAGTCGCGTGGGGTTGGGCAGCCTTGTTCACATGTCTGACCACTTAGTGTTTCATCTCATGGCAATGCCTTTACCCATCTCTGCCCGCTGCTACAGGCACCCCGGGCCACCCTACAGAAGCTCAGTGACTTCCTGGGATACCCGCTGGGGCCTGAAGAGGAAGACTTTGTCCTGGAGCACTGCAGCTTCCCCTTCATGAGCCAGAGCAGCGTGGTCAACTACAGCCTGGTGCCCAAGGAAGTCATGGACCCCAGCCAGGGCCGCTTCCTGCGGAAAGGTATGAGCGTGGCCCCGAGCCACCCGCACCTCCCCGCGCTGAGGCCGCGCCTGGACCCACTGCCCTGGGTGCTCCCGCCTCTGGGCACCCTATGTCCCCACAGCTCCTGCCTAAGGCAGCATCTCTCAAGGCTGGGTGAGCCACAGAGGAGACGCCCCCAGCCATGCGCAGCCAACCCAGGCCCTGGCTTCTCCCTGGTGGTGGCTGCCAGGGCAGGCTCCCCTCTGGCCCTGGCCACATCTGTCTGCCCCAGTGACTCCAGGGCCCGGATCCACTCTGCTCCAAAGTTGCTGCTCCTAGGAGGCGGCCTCTCGCGTGCCCAGCGTCCGGGCCCTTAAGCCCCCTGCAGGCTCTAACCCTACGGCCTTGTGGTCTGAGAGCCTGCATGGCCTATAGAAGAGGAGTGGAGGGGAAGCGCTCATGCACAGACAGCGTGGCCCAGTGCCAGCCCACGTGTCACTGGGCCTCGAGTGTGAGCAGTTCCTAGAAAAGTTCTGAACAAAATGAAGCCCTGTGCTGGGTTCACAGGGCTGCTGGCATCTCAGGAGATGTTCTGTCTGTACACAGCACGTGTCCTTGAGACGTGTGGAAAGTTGTGGTGGTGCCCCTACCCGGGTTTGGACCCTGCACTCCTAGCTTAATGATGCTAGCCTTGTTGCTACAGCACCTGAAAGCACCTCAGTTCTGCCTCTGTCCTTGTGGGACCTGGGGAGACCAGGGATCGGGCTGCCTGGCTGGACAGGGCTCTGTGGTCTGAGCCCCTCAAAGCCTCCCTTGTGCAGTATCCTGGGCCCTCACTCCACTCCTCTGTGGCAAATGCACTGTGGCTTCTGGGGCAGCTGAACCACAGCCTGTGGACCATGGTTCTCACAGCCAGACTCCAGCGTGGTGTGTCTCAGGGCTGAGCTTGCTGTGAGGCTGGGCTGCTTCTGGCCTCTCCCACTGCAGCCAGGGCTCCTGGGCTGAGCCCCTCCCCCTCTCTCCCCCCACCCCACCGCACCACTTCTATCCAACAAGGACAGTGAGCCACCCTTGCTGTCTCTCCCAGGGACCTGGGGTCAGCTGTGCCCTGATCCCCTGCCGCTTCTCCCTAGGTGTCATGGGGGACTGGAAGGAGCACTTCTCTCCAGAGCAGAACGAGAAGTTCAATACCGTCTACCAGGCCAAGATGGGCAACCTGGGCCTGCACCTCCCTTGGACCATGGACTGACCCCAGCCACCTGCGGCTTGCCCTTCCCAGATCCCGAGCACCTTGGCTGTGCTGATCCCACTGGCAGTAAACACAGGCAGTCGAGAAGCTGGGCTGGGGGTGTTGGCTCGGCCAGCAGTTGTCTGCCCCTCCCCTTTGCTCCCCGTTGTACCCCAGTGGACTGGCGCAGTTGCTTCAGTGCCCTCCCTGGCTGTGCCTCCGCCACACCCCACTCTGACATGGGTGCAGCAGGCGGTGTTGCGCCCTCCCCCACACCCCCACTTCAGATGACACTGTTGCAATTTGAAGAACGGAGAGGGGACCCAGTGGCTAAATCAGGATCTGGGCCCCTATTTGCACACACGATTTTGCAGCACGTTTTCAGCCCTGCCCCAGCCTGTGCTGCTACCTAAGCAGAGCTCCCTCCAAGGCCATTGCTCAGGTTGGGCTGGCTGGGCTCCCTTCTGTGTCCTGACCCAGGCTGCAGCACAGGCCCTGCTACAATAAAGATTTGCTTTGGTGTTCCTGTAAACCTGCTCATGATGTATTTCTCAGGTAGTGCTCTGTCTTAGTTATTCTCCCTTTGCTGAAACACAATACCTGACACCCACAACATAGAGGAGAGCCGGATGTGGTGGCGCACGCCTGTAATCCCAGCACTTGGGAGGCTGAGGCAGGAGGATCGTTGTGAGTTCGAGACCAGCCTGGCCTACAAAGTGAGCTCAAGGCCAGCCTGAACTGCATAGCAAGACCTTGTCTCAAAAAGACAAACAAAAAAAAAAAGAAAGAAAAACAAACCCAAAACCTTAGAGGAGAGGTTTGTTTTGGCTCACAGTTTGTAGAAGTTTCAGCATACAGTCAGCTGGCCCCAAGGCAGGGCAGCATGGCAGAGGAGAAACAGCCCACGGCATGGGGGGCAGGAAGCAGCGCCAACAAGGGGGAGCAGAGATGTATACACACACCCTTTCAGGCCACGCCCACGGACCCGCCTCCCACCAGGCTTCACCTCCCAACATCACACCCAGCTCTACACCCTCAGTGGTCTAACCCACATCACAGTCACGGTGCAGCCCCTCCCCAAAGCCCCACCTATGAGCGCATGAGGCTTTGACGGGATATCTAGATATAAATCATAGCATGTGGGTTCCAAAAGTCCTGTAAATCTGCTTGGAATTATTTTTAACCCTGAGCAGTGTGGACAGAGCAGTCATTTCCAAAAAAAGCAGTAGAAAAAAACACATTGACTTGACTTCTGGGAAGGTGAAGGAGTGGTGAGCAGCCATGAAGCAGCCTCTCCCAGATTTGGTGTCCAGATGCTGGAACAGAGCCACGTGGGGAAGAGAAGCAGGAGGAAGTGGGTCCCCGGGACCCAGCAAGGCTGTGAAGGGAGGACTGAAGCCCATGGGAGAGTGAAGCCACCTCAGTGCACAAGAGGGAGGTGGGTCTGCCTCACTGCAGGATGGGGACTCGAACCCATAGAGGCACGGCCACTGCTGGAGGCCAGCTGCCTCCACGGAGAAGTGCACGGTGGAGCGCAGCCGTGAGTGCAGCGGACTGCACTGGCTGCGGAGCTCCTCGGGTTCAGACACCCCCAGAGAGGGCAACTGGCTGGTAGCCGTCTTGGAGAGGAGCCAACAGAGCTGGGAACACACAGCAGCTGTGGTCTCCGTCTGGTGGTGCTCAGTGTCAGGGCGGGCGGAACTGAGTTTAGGATGGGAGGAGGCACACAGAGTGCGGCAGGCTGGACAGACTGGGTTCCAGCCAGAAACCAGCCTGACTTCCATGGGGCTAAGGGTGCAGCTTTGCTGGGATCATCCACTGCCCCTTCCTAACCCACAGCTGGCTCACTGGGATTAAAAACACGGATTTGGGGCCAGTCTGCTGCTTCTGTCCACCAGGGACGGCAGAGACAAACCCTGAAGTAAACATTTTTCCTTGCTTTTTGTTTTTCTCTCTGTCTCTCTCTTTTTTTTTTTTTGGTTTTTTTTCCAGGACCGGGAATCGAACTCATGACCTTACACTTGCCAGGCAGGCGCTGTGCCACTGAGCTAAATCCCCAGCCCCTTGCTTTTTGCTGTTATGACCATGAACATTGCTTCTGGTTTTCCTGTTGGTGTTCTGCTCTGTCCTTGTTTGTATTTCCTCCTTCTCTTTCCCCCCTCATTTGCACCAGTTTCCCAAAGTCCATGTGATCTCCTTTGCCCTCCAGCCTTGCTTCTAGCCTCTTCTTCTTCTCCCTTAGGGTGGAATCGCCATATTGAGGGCACATTTACTGTATACAATTTTAAGGTTTGTTTTAGATTTTGTTATATGACTATAAATCTAGTTCATATGGGTAAAGGTGGCAAACGAATCGTTACCACGGTTTATCATTCTCTAGGCTGTGTTTGGTGCTACTGTTATTGCTGACTGTACTACTTTAGCCAAGGTGACATAATTGTTCTAATCAATTGTTCTTCCTGCTACACTAGGACTGAAATTGCCTAAGGGTCATAAACAATGCTATACACCAGTCCCAAAGAACCAGGGTCTGGGCCAAATAGGCAGCAACGTCTCATTCCCAATGAACTGAAGAGGTAGGATACTGCAACAGACTCCAACCCCAAAATCCAGCTACGCCTGGAAGATATCTCTGAGAAGCAGTCGTTAGGAAGGGTTCTAAATACTAACAATAAAGCTACCTGCCATAAGCTATTTACAAGCATCAGCCCAAGAATTCAACTAAAAAGAAAAAGAAAAAAAGAAAAAAGAAAATGAGAAGACATATCGCTTCTTGGCCTTTTGGCTAAGATCAAGTGAGAAGACACTTAAGTAAGAAGCAACCTAAGACACTCAGGTCACCAAAGGCAAATCCAGGGGCCAATGAGCTGAAACAATTGAAAGCCACCCTCCTGGACTCTGAAGTGGTGAACAGTGGAAGTAATAAAGCAGATGAATGAGGCTCTAGAAAAAAATCAAGTCAGAAATAATCTCTCAGATAACTACAGAGATGGGGACCATAATGAAAGACAAAAAAGAAAGAAAAAAAATTCCATGGAAAGTATATGCAGCAGAATGAGGCAATGTGAGGATAGAATATCAGATACAGAAGATGGGATTGTGGTTAGTGATCACAAAAAGAAAGATTTCTTTGTTTTTGTCTTGCTTTTTTTTTTGTCTTTCTGAGACAGGGTCTTGCAATGCAATTCAGGCTGGCCTTGAGCTCACTTTGTAGGCCAGGCTGGTCTTGAACTCACAACGATCCTCCTGCCTCAGCCTCCCGAGTGCTGGGATTACAGGCATGCACCACCATGCCCAGCAGAAAGATTTCTTAAAAATAGGAAGGGACCATGAAAAATCAATCCAACAGCTGCTACATAATGCAAAACAGAATACATTAGATTGATCAGAGTCGATGAAAAGGCAGGAGATAGTACAAATGACATTTTTTAAAAAGTCTGTTCATAGAAGTAATGGCAAAAAAAATTCCCAAGCATGAAAAAAGAGTTTGACATACAGATAGGTGAGGTATATAGAATTCTAGCCATGATCAAAAAACATTTACACCAAGGCATATAACAGTCAAGATTCCAGAAATTCAGCATAAGAACAGAATATTAAAAGCTGTTAGAGAAAAGAAACATCACCTATAAAGGGAAGCCCATCAGAATCACAGCTGACTTCTCGATATAAACCCTCAAGTCAAGGAGAGCTGAGAGTAAAATTTTTTAAGCCCTAAAAGAAAACAACCTCCAACCCAGACTGATGAACCTCACAAAACTATCTTTCAAAATTGATAGAGAGGGCTGGGGATGTAGCTCAGTGGCAGGCCACTTGCCTAGTATGCACAAGGCCTTGAGTTTAATCCCCAGTACCACCAAAAAAAGATAATATAAAACTGATAGAGAAATAAAATGCATCACAAAAAATACCTGAAGAAATTCATGACCACCAAACCAGCACTCCAAAATGTTCTGAAGGGCATTCTAGAAAAGGATAACAAGAATTACAACTCCATGAACCCAACAGCATGAATCTACCAGACAAGGCAAGCATTAAACAGAAGGGGGAAGAGGGAGCCAACAACAAGAAAATAGCATAACAAGGATGAGCCAATATGCATCAGTTATAACCACAGCTGTAAATGCCATCAATTCACCAGTCAAAAGAAACAGACTGGCAGAATGGCTCAAGAAGCAAGATCCATCAGCATACTGCATATGAGAAATATGTTTAGCTAAAAAAGAAGTTCATAGACTGAAAGTCAAAGGATGGAAAACAATTCCATGTGAGAAGAACCCAGAAAAAAGCAGGGCTAGCTATTCTATTTGTAGACAAAGTGGGTTTCAAGCTAAGACTGAGCAAGAGAGACAAAGAAGGTCACTACATCCTTGTTAAGGGAATCACAGCTCTTGGGAGGCTGAGTCATGAGGATCATTGCAAGTTTGAGATCAGCCTGGGCTACAAAGTGAGCTCAAGGCCAAACTGAACTGCATAATGACACACTGTCTCAAAAAGACAAAAAAAAAAGGGAACAATCCAAGAGGAAGAGATAACAATCATAAATATATATGCACAAAATACTAGCTCACCCAACTATATAAAACAAATACTGACATGAAAAATCAAATAAGCACTAATACCATTTTAATGGGTGACCTCAATACTCCACTGTCACAAATAGACAGATCAACTAGACAAAAAACATCAAAGAAATATCTGAACTGAACCAAACTTCTGAACAAATGTACTTGGTAGATATCTACAGAGTGTTCCACCCCACAACATCAGAATACCCATTCTTCTCAGCTGTACAGGGGACATTCTCCAAAATAGACTACATACTAGCTCGTAGAACATACTTAAGTAAATGCAAAGGAATTGAAATTATCCTATGCATATTTTTCTGTCTTTTTGAGACAGGGTCTCACTATGTACTTCAGGCTGTTCTTGAACTCACTTTGTAG